TAAACCCCTGAACCCTGAACCCCCAAATCCCTAAACCCTAACCCTACACCTTTCTGAGCCAGCTTAAAACGCTTACTTGACCAAGATCCTGGGGGAATTAAAGGCTGACCTATGGGATTCTATAGGGATTCTACAAACATACCCAAAAGCCGAAAGGCTAAAGGTAGTAGCCTACTACTAGGAACTACCAACACTGAGGCTCTGATCTGAGTCCGGTGCAGGTCGATGCTCCGAACCTCCGGGAAGGAAGTGGCTCTCCTCGGCAGGCTGCAACATTTCGGAGACCGTTTTCGTAACTTTCGGCTTTTGGTTCTGCGGCGTATCAGCCTGAAGACGGCTGATCTATCTGGCCCTTCAGCGTTTGAGGGTCTAAGCAAGTTCGATGTCCGAGAGTGGGCAAGGCTTTATTGGTTTACTGATGCCGGTGCTTCGGAAAAGCATGCACAGTGAACCCCAGCACCCATGAGCCCTACCCTAAGTGAGATGTCTCTGAAATCGCAAGCTCTCCACGAGTGCCCAAACGACCATTAACCCTTAGCCCTACAGCACCAAGCGGTTTAGGATTTAGGGGGGGTTCTGTTTTTCAGGCTTGGGAGCAAGCCCTGAACTCTAAGCCGGATGCGGACAGTTGAGCAGAAAGCCTCACTGCCCTGTCTCGCGCACGCAGCGGTACTGGTCTTGTTGATGGCAAGCGCAGGGCCAAACCCGAACTCCCTCAAAAAGGATACAAGAGGCTCTGAGGGTTCTATACCAGGGTCCCTTAAAAAGGGTCCTTTAGGTTTCTCTAATAGGGCCCCCCAAAACGGACCCCAAGGAAAATAGAACCTAATTTGCCCTAGCCGTTTGGGACCCGAAAGACAGCAACCCCCAATTTCCACCCAGAAAAGGCGACTATGCCGAAGGGTCTCTAGGGTCCTTAAGAATTAGACACAGGGCTTAGGGTTCAGGGTTTGGGGTTTAGGGTTTGGGGTTTAGGGTTTGGGGTTTTAGAGTTTAGGGTTTGTGAAGATTGAGAAATAGGGTTTTCGGGCATGTTGTTCTAGACTTATATAGGGGCAGCAAGGGCATGAACAGAGCCAAGTTTCGAAGAAGCTTAAGAGATCTGCCTGGCTTGGTATAGGCTTGGAACAGAGATTTTTTGAGGGTTTAGGGTTTCGCTCTATGATCGTAGTGCTTTCTTCTATTGAGCACAAACTTTCTGTTGCCGGGTCCGTGAGCCCAATTGTGCCGGAAAGACAGGAACGGACCACACTAGTCGGGCTGACGTGTTTAAAGTGTTTTTCCATTGCAGGTCTTCTACTTCAGAGGTCGGAGGTCTGCGCAGCTAGGACACAAGTCGGGTTGCCACTAAAGTAACAGGACTTGGAGAACCGCCAGTACGCCCCAACCGCCTGAACCTCAAGTAGTGCTGCGAAGGGGCCGACGGTGTGGTCCGGAGGTTTAGCTGAGAGAAAGATGCTTCCATCACCAAATTAATTAATCGTCATCAGATGGAGCCCAGGAGACTTTCAACATGCCAGCACGCACACCAGAATCCGACATCATGCAACTGTCGGATGTCCTGCGCTCCGGCACCACGACCCTGATTAGGACCGTAATGTTTGAATCCTGGACCCTAGACCCCTAGGCGCTGTTCTCTACAGGCCAGTGAACTTGTACAACTTCTAAAAGCTCCTTTTTTGTAAGCTGCACAGAGGCCTACAAAATCAACCCTTACAAGCCTAGAGACATCTTCCAAAAACACTCCAAAGCCCTCATATCAAACCTTTTTTCCAGGATCCTGTAAACCTCTATAACAAAAGATAAACTCCCATAGCTCTGATAAACCTCGTCCAAGAATACCCTTGACAAAACCCTAACTCAACTTTTCCCATTTAGGGCTTAGTTAAGGCTTATGCACCCTAAACCCTGAATCCCTAAACCCTTAAACCCTGAACCCCTAAACCCTCGTTTGAAGATGGCCCCTCGTCCCAACCGGCCTTGGTGACAGAAGTCACCTGAGCGAAGGCGCACGGTCGTAGGACTCAGGTTGAAGGTATAGAGGGTTTAGGGTTTCGGGTTTAACGTACACAGGCTTTGGGGCTTTGGGTTCAGGGTTGAAGGTATATAGGCTTTCAGGCTTTGGGGCTTAGGGTTTAGGGTTTATAGATGGAGGTTCAGGGTTTAGGTTTTAGGGTTTATAGGTTGGGGTTCAGGGGTACGGTTGATGTCTTGAACCGACAATCTACCTCTTCGAGGAATACCTAGGAAGCCATCCTAAGCAGCCTGACAGATGTAGATTCAATCAGAAGAAGAAAGAAAATGGTGAAGGTCGAGCTTCGTCCTAACCCCCTGACCCCCTAAACCCGAAAACCCTAAACCCAAAGCCCCAAACCCCTAAACCCCTAAAACCCTAAAACCCTAAACCCGAAAACCCTAAAGACTAAAGCCTCAACCCGAAGGCCTCGACCTGCAGCCCTCCACTCTAAGCTCGGACGGTTTAGTCTTTAGGGTTTAGGGTTTAGGGTTTAGGGTTTAAGGTTTAGGGTTTAGGGTTTAGGGTTTCTTGCCCGAGGTACCAGGTTCGCTTCCTCGCTGCGGCGTCGCCAGGCGAACTGAAAGGAACGGATCTCCTTCAACACATGCACAGAGAGGCCCGCACCCGGTAGAACATTGGCTTGAGCTGCAGAGGAGCTTTAAAACCCGAAACCCATAACTCATAATATATGGCGCTTCTGACTCTGATTTTTTTAAGGGGTATTGGGCTCTTCGGATCGGTTGGGTAGATTTGACCATTGAGTCTGTTGTTTACGGCTGAAGTCTGAACAGGGTTTGGGGGTTTAAGCGGGGCTGGGTTCGAGGATCCTCTGGCATGACTTCACCCACAACCCACGGAAGCTAAAGTCTAAGGGTTTAGGGTTGAGGGACCCTAAACCCTAAACCCTAAACCCAAAAGCCGTTGCATAGAGGACCCTGGGCCCTGCCTAAACCATACCCTGAAGCTTATCCATCTACGAATAAGACTTGGAGACACATCCGCCTAAATTCCCTAAACTCAAAACCCCTAAAAACCCTAATGGAATATCCTTTAAGGACCAGCTTACGCCGTCGGGGTTTAGAGGTTCGAGGATTTGGGGTTTCGAGTTTAGGGCTTCGGGCCTTCTAGGCTTCAGGGATTTGAAGGATTTCTGGTTTAGTGTCGGGCTTTGGGGGATTGAAGAGGAGGTTTCTGGTTTAGGTTTTCCGATGCTTTAGGGGTTGTTGTCCAAGGGTTTAAGGGTTACCAGCCAGCACTTGCTACCAGGGTCACTACACGGCAAACCACGGTGTGCTCCCGCCTCTAACATGACGAGCAGTCGTTGAAAGGGTTCTTGAACTTCCACTGAAGGCCTTCCTCTGCTTGAAGCTGCTGCTGATGCTGCTAATGTTGTTGTTCTCATCATCGGGACAAACACTGGCAGGATGATGCATCAGCTGCTACAGGATCAACACCTGTTGAGGCTGCAGCTGGCAGCCGCAGAAAAGAGATCAGACAGGTCCCAGGTCAAGCGCGCTCACGTCCGAATGCTGCACACACGGCTGTTTCCAGAAGTGTGGCGAGGTGACTCATAAGGCTGCATTAGTTTATGGCTTCGGGCTTTTCGGGAAACCCTAAAGCCTAAACCCTTAACCCAACCCCTAAACCTTTGAGGATCGCTCGACGGCATCGATGAATCCCCCCCCAAATCTTCTTCAGCCCTCAACTCTTAACTCAGAGCCTCGAGTCGTAGGCAAAAGTTCATGGACCCCGCTACAACAGAAAAAAACATCCGACCCCTATACAGAGATCCTATACGCCCCTTCAGAAACGAACACAAAGACTGCATAGTAAAGACCCAAACATCTAAAGCTTGTGAGTTCGGGTGTCCCACCTCCCACCATCGCACCGCTTCCTCGCCTGCTGTGACCAAGTGCTACAGTCTCAGAATGTTCAAAGATTCGGCGGGTCCCACAGAGGTGTTAGGAATTAGGTCCGAGGGCTTTAGGATGATGGATAATGTGGGCATGTAGGGATTTCCGGACTGGATTGCGGTTTTAGGCAATTAGGGTTTACGGGGGTGAGTGGTATGGAAGAGTTAGACTCGGGCTTCGGCGAGCGATATTTTGGGAGAACCTGGGCAAATGATACCCTGCACGCCAAACCCAAAATCGTGAATCCCAAATCCTAAACCCTAGATCCTAACCCCAAGCCCTAAATTCAAACCCTAACCCCGACACTCGACTACGGATTCTGCAGGCCTCCCTAGCCCACGATCCTGAACCCTAAGCATCTTCGGGCTGGAGTAAGGCCTCGGATATGAGTTCAGGATTTTGGGTTCAGGGGTTAGGGTTGGTTTAGGATTTGGGGATTTCGGGTTTAGGGTTCAGGGTTTTGGGATTTAGGGTTTTGGGTCTTGGGATTTAGGGTTTTGGGATTCAGGGTTTTGGGATTTAGGGGTTTGGGATTTCGGGTTTGGGGCTCAGCGTCAAGGCTTTAGGGTGTAGGTTCCAGACACAACCCTCAAAGTAAGTTTCAGAAAGCCCAAAGTTAAGCCCTTGTGAAACTAAAAATCTTGTCAGAGACCTGTAAAATGCCCATAACAACCCTACAAAACCCAAAATAACACCTACAAAAGCACTACAGCATAAGCACCATCTTTTGCTGCGAGATCGAGGCCCAGCCGTCTTTGGGCTGCTTTCAGATCAGCCAATCCACCCCAATCAAGAAATGTTGACCCTACACGTTGACCCTACACCCTACACCCAAAGCCCAATACGCCACATCCCAAAGCTGGATTTAGAGGTTTAGTCCCCTAAACCCAAACCCCGAAACCCTAAACCCTAAACAATAAGCCCCTAAACTGTAAACCCTAAACAATAAGCCCCTAAACCCTAAACCCTAAACAACAAGCCCCTAAACCCTAAACCCCCAAACCCCGAAATCCTAAACAATAAGCCCCTAAACCCTAAACCCTAAAGGAGGAGGCTCAAGAGGCCCAGGGTCAGAAAGTACGTCTCTGCTTCAACCCCTCCACCTTCTCGCCGGCTCTCCCGCCTGAGGGCTTTGGACTTTTGGACCCCAAAAGTTACATCCCAAGTTTAGGGTTTAGGGTTTAGGAAATCCTAAACCCTAAACTGTAAAGCCGAAAAGCTCTAAGCCCTCAGCCCCAAACTCCACAGGGTTGAACCCTAAACCTTAAGCCCTAAAGACCCTAAACCTTGAACCTTAACTTGAAGATAAGCTCCGAAACCGTGTATCCCAGATCTAAACCCTAGTTTGAAGCATCTCCCACCAGACAGGCCGAGCATTCTCCAAGCTGCTGACGACAACTGGCTGTTCTGCACCTTCTGTTAGGGCCCCAAAAAAGCATAAGCAAAAAAGAGTATGGGGATATCCCATATAACCCCCCCTTAGAATGAAGCCCCTAAGCCCTAAACCCTAATCCCAATCAGATAGGGACATGCTGGGCCCCTACTTGTCACTGTTTCTGGCTGAAGTCGCAGGGTGTGGGTTCAGGGTTTAGGGTTCAGGGTTTAGGGTTCAGGGTTTAGGGTTCGGGGTTCAGGGTTCAGGGTGCTTAGCTTGCCTCGGGGCTCTTGCAGGCAAGCCCCTAGACCCTAAACCTCTAAACCCCTAAACCCGTAAGTTCCAGACCCCTAAACCCTGAAAGGGCTACACCCCTGAACCCTTGAAGTGCCTTGGGATTTTTGGAGGCAAACATGGCACACTCGCGCTGCAAAGCCTCCATGCCCTGGTGCGCTGCTGCTTCTGCGATCGCGGCGAAGGACTCTTCGGAAATCATGTCTCCTTAGTCCCAAAGGATCCGAAGCACCTAGGAATTCTAGTGCTTAACTCGGGTTATCCCCCGTCCCAAGGTTTAGGCTTATTGAATCCCAGAGTTTCATTGGTCCATTTTCGACCGAAGAAACGTCGGATATATGATCCCGGCTCGGCCGGCC